CCCCCCCGCCAACAACCCCTAAACCTTTTTTTTTTTTTTTGGCTTTTTTTTTTTTTAATTAAAAACACACGCACGCACACACAAGCTGCTGTTGAACACTGACCCCCTCCGATGCCTGGAGAGAGCCTGGATACCAGAGAGCCGGGGTCCTTCTCCACCAGCCATGGCCACCGAGGGCTCTGCTCGGTGCCGCACAGACATTTCCTGCCCCTACAACTATGTGCTCTGAGGAACTCCGAGTTCCTGCCTTTTGCCATCTGCCCTTTCATATGTATTTTCCTGCAGCTTCTTGTATTTAATTACACTTGGCTATTAATACATTTTTAATGACACTCCAGGCAGAGGGGAAGCGGGTGCCTTCAGAGGACATGCACACACACGTACATACATTGAAGTGCACCCAGCACCTCCACCCCCCCCGTGCCCATCGCCAGGAGCCCCATGAGGGCACAGACACCTCCAGCCTCGTGTTTCCACCCCAGACCTGGCACCCCCAGGCAGGAGGGGGAATAGGGACCCCCATGCCAGGCAGCCACCGGCCCCACAGCACCCGCTCTCCCAGCAAAAGCCCTGCCGAGCCCCGTCCCGTGCAGGAGCCCAGCACTGAATCCCAGCTCCCATCCCAACCTGTGCTCAGCCCCCGCGACCCCACAAAGGGGGGAGCCCCCAAATAACCCGAGCGTGACCTGCCCCCGGGATCAGCGTTGCTGCTGGGTGCCGGCAGGGGTGAAGCCCCTGCGGAGAAGCCTCTGGGGGGGGGGGGAAATCAGACACCCTGGCAGCCCCCCAGCCTTCACCCACCTTGGGAGCCTAGAGGGACCCTGGGGACACACTCGCATTCACTGTCACTGCTCTGTGATGGCCCGAGGGGTCCCCAAAGCCGGGGGGGGGAGAGGGGGGGAGCGTCACACCTTTGTGCACCTGATGGTTCTGCTCTGAGAGCGGAGGGGAGAGCTGGGGGGGGGGACAGGATGCTGCACCCACCTTGGCAGGTCCTATAACCCCCCCCGGTGCATCCTATAGTCACCCTCAGGTGGCTCCTATAGCCCCCCCCCGAGTGAGCTCTACAGCTGCATGCTATAGGGCATGGTGGGCCCTATAGCACCTCAGGGTGAACCTCGCAGCCCCCCTCGGGGGAACCCCCCCAGGGTGGGCTCTGCCGAGGCTGCAACGGGCGGTC